TTCTTCTCAATTTTTACAAGACAAAACATATCCTAATAACACAACAAACACAGATGCACTAAAAAATTTCAATCAGTTCATTCTAACCGTCAATGACAATTTTTGTTAATAAACTTCATCGCAGAGTCATTGACTGTGCAAACTCCTTCCTTAAATATGGAACAAAAAGAGTCCTATGTTTCTAACCTTTACTTTGGTGCACTCTGGAGCACACCTTGCTTTGAATTCTGTGCTGGGCTCCAAGTAACTGCAAATAACATTATTTTACAGTGGTTTACTTTTAAAGGTTCTATGGCATTATGGAAAACACTCGAAATCTAGTGACACCCCAACTCTCTTGTGCTACATTCTTCCAAAACAATCCTTTTCCCAGTGGGCAGTCAGTGGGTTAGTCAATGTTCATTTGTCATTTACTCAGTTTATTTGTGAGTTCATCTTGCAATGCCCTACATGTAGCTGTCCTCTGCCTTATCTGGTATTTTCAGTATTGATAGAGAAGTTACCAGTAAGAAAGCAAATTGTCAGGAAACTCCTGTGGTTTATTTTTCAACTAAAATTATCAACAAGGATGGTAGCTGTAAGAACAACTTTTCCCTTAGTTGGTAACATACAACACAGAAAGTTTTATATACATCATACGGTACACAACAAATTTTGAACGGCTTTCTAAACAAGACTGCCAAATCGATGAATTAGCCAGAATGCACTTTTCGGAGAAGGCACTATTTCAGAAAAAGCATCTTTTATCTTCCTGGAGAGATTTCTGGCCCAGACATACCGTATTTACCAGTGTATCAGTCGATCCTGTGTATGAGTCGACCCCCAATTTCTGAGGCCAAAAGCTGGATTTTCTTAATTTCCAGGTAAGAATTTCTTGGAAAACATATCTTGTATTTCTTAGAATTATCTTTCAGTTACCACAGATATGTGAACAAATCACTGACAGTAAGTTTCAACATGCAGTTTTAACAAGCGTATTATGGCACGTATACAAGCGTTTTACCCAGTTTAGCAACACGTGCATGTGGACTTTTCGATAATAATTTTTGTCAAATGCTCACAAAATCAAACATAAGGATTTCAAATGAACCTTTTTAAGTGCAAAGAGATTAAAAGTGGCTTTATAAGACAGGCAAAACACCAAAGAAGCTCAAGACTTTCAAAATGACTCCATAAACAAAGTGCAACGTGTGTGTTGGGAACTTGGTAGCCAAGCCTTGAAATCCTCGCACTCGTATCCTGCCAGGTTACTAAGCAGACAAGTTCAGAGCACGGAGGATGTTTTCTCTGAGCGGCTTGACTACAGCTTTATTTACAGGAAAAATATTGGTTCGTTATGACAAAATTAAGCCAGTGAGTGTCTACGAGATTCAGGTTAACATTTCGCGGATCAATGTTGATGCATTTTAACTTGAAGCTCTGATATATATAGAGAAACAGATCGCTAAACGAACATACACTGTAAACTGTACTGCTGTTTATTACATGTTTGTTAACATTGAAAGACAATTATTATGCTAATTATTTAACTGGCGCTTGGATCTCAAGTATTGACCCATGTATAAGTCGAGGGCAAATTTTTGGACTGATTTTTGAGGTCTCGAAAGGTCGACTTATACACAGGAAAATACGGTAGTCACACCACAATCACTTTCATAATGCTGGCCAGTTAAAAGCCAGTCTCAAATCAAATTTTTAAGATGCCAAGTGACGTTTTATGAGTTTCTGAGAATGTACAATAACAATTGTCACTATGCAAGCAGCTGAGCTGGATGTACTGGATGAGCTTAATTTGGTGGTCAAGTAACCAAGGAATGTGGAAGTCTAGAGTATGGCAGTCAGTGTT